GGCACTGATAGGCAGCACTGATGGGCACTGATGAGGCAGCATTGATGGGCACTGATAGGCTGCACTGATGGGCACTGATGAGGCAGCACTAATAGGTAGCATCAGGGGCAATAGGGGATCATGGGGCCCTTGTGTCCTTGCCCAAAACTAAAAAAAAGCCTATGAAAAAGGTACCAGGGGCATCTCATGGGGCCCCCTACTGACCCCGGGCCCTCGGGCAGTGCCTGAGTTTCCAAATGGTCAGTCCGCCCCTGGGTAGCACTGATGAGACGGCGCTGATGAGGCACTGATAAGCAGCAATGATGGGCACTGATAGGTGGCACTGACTGGTGGCACTGCCTGATAGCACGAACTGGAGGCACTGAAAGACAGCAATGTCCGGCAGCACTGATGGGTGACACTGATGGGCTGATGGGCGACACTGATGGGCACTGCCGGGTGGCACTACTGGACAGCACTGAGACTCCAGCACTTTGCCTTATGGTCTACTATGTTCCTGCATACCGATCTCTTGTTGCCGAACTGATCTGCCTTGACCACACCTGAACTCCGCCTGTACCCACTCCTGGCTTGCCTCTGGACCACGTCTCTGCCTGCTTCCCCTACCTACCTGTCTGACCATTGCTGACTCTGACCTGAACTCTGACCATCCTTCTGCCTGTCGCTTTGTTCCTGATCTGCCTGCTAGTTCCTCATTCGGCTTGCCTGACCCTGCTATTGGCTCCTGCCAGTGGCTACCATCTGCACCCTACCAAGTGCCAGTGCCCTGCCAGCCTGCTGTTCCTGCTTCCCTGCATCCACAGACCAGCGTGCATCCTGGTACACACAGACAACTCACCAGCATTTTCCCGCGTTTTCCAGCGTTAGAGTGTTTTTTCAGCTAAAAAACTCCTCTAGAAGCCCGCTAGCTCTGGGTTTTTTTCCAGCCAATAAACATGGATTCCAGTCTATGTGTGTATGGACACGGAGGAGAACATGCTGCGGGGGTTACTGGCTGCAGAAAAAAACATCAAAAGTACCATAAACAGCCACTGTAAAAATTTCCCGTGTGCGCGAGGACCAAAGCTACTGTCTGCTTTCCTCTCTAGCTGAGCCAAGGCTGGAAATGTACATCTTTGAACTGAAGAAAGTGACGTACAGTTTTTGAGATCAACGAAAAGGCGAGTATCCAGTAAGGAAGCAACTGCTTTGGGCATCCCCAAAATGGCTGTCTCTAGCAAGAAGGAACAGGAGCGACGCTGGAGGACATTTACAGCACGCACTCATTTTGGTCGCATAGTTATGAATGTGGAATGTGTGATCTTTTGTTGCAGAACATTAGTTGGTGTCAAACTGTTACGGATAAAGTTCTGCTTTAACCTCCCTGGCGGTAATCCTGAGTGTGGCTCGGGGATCATTTACAGTACAAAAGCAGTGACCCCGAGCAACACTCAGGATTACACTGTAGTCCTTGTCCTGCGATCCCCCGATCCTTACCTTGTCCTGCCATCCCCCGATCCTTACCTTGTCCTGCCATCCCCCGATCCTTACCTTGTCCTGCGATCCCCCGATCCTTACCTTGTCCTGCGATCCCCCGATCCTTACCTTGTCCTGCGATCCCCCGATCCTTACCTTGTCCTGCGATCCCCCAAACCTTACCTTGTCGTGCGATCCTCCGATCCTTACCTTGTCCTGCGATTTCCCCGAACCTTACCTTGTCATGCGATCCTCCGATCCTTACCTTGTCCTGTGATCCCCTGATCCTTACCTTGTCCTGTGATCCCCGATCCTTACTTTGTCCTGCAATCCCCCGATCCTTACCTTGTCCTGCTATCCCCCCATCCTTACCTTGTCCTGCAATCCCCCCGATCCTTACCTTGTCCTGCGATCCCCCGATCCTTACCTTGTCCTGTTATCCCCCGATCCTTACCTTGTCCTGCGATCCCCCAAACTTTCCTTGTCCTGCGATCTCCCCGATCCTTACCTTGTCCCGCGATCCCCCGATCCTTACCTTGTCCCGCGATCCCCCCGATCCTTACCTTGTCCTGCGATCCCCCGATCCTTACCTTGTCCTGCGATCCCCCGATCCTTACCTTGTCCTGCCATCCCCCGATCCTTACCTTGTCCTGCGATCCCCCGATCCTTACCTTGTCCTGCGATCCCCCGATCCTTACCTTGACCTGCGATCCCCCGATCCTTACCTTGTCCTACGATCCCCCGATCCTTACCTTGTCCTGTTATCCCCCGATCCTTACCTTGTCCTGCGATCCCCCAAACTTACCTTGTCCTGCGATCTCCCCGATCCTTACCTTGTCCTGCGATCCCCCGATCCTTACCTTGTCCCGCGATCCCCCCGATCCTTACCTTGTCCTGCGATCCCCCGATCCTTACCTTGTCCTGCGATCCCCCGATCCTTACCTTGTCCTGCCATCCCCCGATCCTTACCTTGTCCTGCGATCCCCCGATCCTTACTTTGTCCTGCGATCCCCCGATCCTTACCTTGTCCTGCGATCCCCCGATCCTTACCTTGTCCTGCCATCCCCCCGATCCTTACCTTGTCCTGCCATCCCCCGATCCTTACCTTGTCCTGCGATCCCCCGATCCTTACGTTGTCCTGCGATCCCCCGATCCTTACTTTGTCCTGCGATCCCCCGATCCTTACCTTGTCCTGCGATCCCCCGATCCTTTCCCCAGAATTGAGTGATAATGATTCGTTGGGGAAATTCCTCATCAGACACTGAAAGTGACGATAGCGAGGATTCTGCGACTGAGCTCAACGATCTGCGAACACGGCGCTCTATTTCACATTTCAGTGTTTTTGGTTTGATGACATTATTGAATTACATTTATTAATATATTATTATATTTTATAATTATTTATTAAATTATAATTTATGATTTCGTGTTTCAAATTTTATCCCCCCCGGGATGTTTACTAGACTCTTATTTGGACAGATATAGGAATCATGTACACTGCAGCTGATAAACGGACGTTCAGGAGCTGTTCTGCGTTTTTTTCAGCAGCCCCTGAACCCTCCCTAATGTTTTCCTATGTCTCCATGTACACATCGTCCTTTACAGTTGTTTACAGGCAGTTGAGTTTACAGTCGTTTTCTTGAACGCACTAAACTTGCGTTCCGGAGTAGATTTACCGGCATTTAAAACGCTTGTAAACACGGTTAACCGCATTTACAAGCGTTTGAGTTTAGATGCGTTTTTTCACAAGCCCATATCCAGATCCTGTTCAGAGCCTATTATGCAAAGCCTTTTCTATGTATTCAAATGGACCCGGTACACCAGCGCAGTCAGTTCCAGGTTTTGCGTGAAGGTCAGGCAAAACCTGGTGGCAGTCCAGGGGCGGATTGCCGTTCATAAACGCCTTCTGCCATTTTGGACTGTGCGTACTCCCTGGGAGCGCGCTGCACCGTGATCCAGTGCCCACTGTGTCCTGCGGAATTGGCCAATCAGTGATCCCATGAATAGGAGTAAACAAGTGGTCACTTCTGACATCATTGCTTACTGCTAGAGAAATGTGTGAATGATCACAGAGATCACATGGTACAGGGCCATTCACAACAGCCTTGTACCATGTGACAAGCTGTGACCAATCACAGCTCACTCAGTATTTCTCAATGGCTGCAGGAATGCAGCCAGAGAGGAGGGAGAAATGATTGCTTTTACTGCCTTTATGGGTGTAAAAGAAATCAGTGTAAAAAAAAAAAAAAAATCTTCATCACCCCCCACAAGTAGTACAGTGTCACTATGGTGATACTACTGCTAGGGTGACAGTATGTTAAAAAAAAAAACAAATAATATAAAAAAAAAAATTAAAAATGTAAAACATTTTTTTGAAAAATCTAATTTTTGGTTACAAACTAATTTGGGTTATTTTTTTTTACTAAAAAGATAACGGAATACATTTTGGCCAAGATTTATGAAGAAAGATTATTTATTTGCAAAAATTTATAAGAAAAACACTTATTTTTAAAATTTTGGGACTTTTTCATTTATATAGCAAAAAAAAAAATAAAAGTCCCAGCAGTGAATAAATACCACCAAAATAAAGTTTTATCTGTATCAAAAACAAAATCATATGGGTACAGTGTTGCATGACCGCGCAATTGTCATTCAAAGTGTGATAGCGCTGAAAGCTGAAAATTGCCCTGGTCAGGAAGGGGGGAAAGTGTCCGAACTGGAAGGGGGTGAAAGTGTCCGGACTGGAAGGGGGGGAAAGTGTCCGGACTGGAAGAGGGGAAAGTGTCCGGACTGGAAGGGGGGGAAAGTGTCCGGACTGGAAGGGGGGGAAAGTGTCCGGACAGGAAGGGGGGGGGGAAAGTGTCCGGACTGGAAGGGGGGGGGGAAAGTGTCCGGACTGGAAGGGGGGGGAAAGTGTCCGGACTGGAAGGGGGTGAAAGTGTCCGGACTGGAAGGGGGGGTGAAAGTGTCTGGACTGGAAGGGGGGGAAAGTGTCCGGACTGGAAGGGGGGGAAAGTGTCCGGACTGGAAGAGGGGAAAGTGTCCGGACAGGAAGGGGGGGAAAGCGTCTGGACTGGAAGGGGGGGAAAGTGTCCGGACAGGAAGGGGGGGAAAGTGTCCGGACTGGAAGGGGGGAAAGTGACCGGACTGGAAGGGGTGAAAGCGTTCGGACTGGAAAGGGGGGGAAAGTGTCCGGACTGGAAGGGGGGAAAGTGTTCGGACTGGAAGGGGGTGAAAGTGTCCGGACTGGAAGGGGGTGAAAGTGTCCGGACTGGAAGGTGGTGAAAGGGTCCGGACTGGAAGGGGGGTAAAAGTGTCCGGACTGGAAGGGGGGGAAAGTGTCCGGACTGGAAGGGGGGGAAAGTGTCCGGACTGGAAGGGGGTGAAAGTGTCCGGGCTGGAAGGGGGGGGAAAGTGTCCGGGCTGGAAGGGGGGTGAAAGTGTCCGGACTGGAAGGGGGGGGTGAAAGTGTCCGGACTGGAAGGGGGGGGTAAAGTGTCCGGACTGGAAGGGGGGTGGAAAGTGTCCGGACTGGAAGGTGGTGAAAGTGTCCGGACTGGAAGGGGGTGAAAGTGTCCGGACTGGAAGGGGGGGAAAGTGTCCGGACTGGAAAGGGGGGAAAGTGTCCGGACTGGAAGGGGGGGAAAGTGTCCGGACTGGAAGGGGGTGAAAGTGTCCGGACTGGAAGGGGGGGTAAAGTGTCCGGACTGGAAGGGGGTGAAAGTGTCCGGACTGGAAGGGGGGGAAAGTGTCCGGACTGGAAGGGGGTGAAAGTGTCCGGACTGGAAGGGGGTGAAAGTGTCCGGACTGGAGGGGGGGGGGGGGGGGGGGGGAAAGTGTCCAGACTGAAAGGGGGGAATGTGTCTGGACTGGAAGGGGGTGAAAGTGTCCGGAATGGAAGGGGGGGGGGGAAAGTGTCCAGACTGGAAGGGGGGGAAAGTGTCCGGACTGGCAAAGGGGGGGAAAGTGTCCGGACTGGAAGGGGGTGAAAGTGTCCGGACTGGAAGGGGGTGAAAGTGTCCGGACTGGAAGGGGGTGACAGTGTCCGGACTGGAAGGGGGGGAAGTGTCCGGACTGGAAGGGGGGGAAAGTGTCTGGACTGGAAGGGGGGTGAAAGTGTCCGGACTGGAAGGGGGTGACAGTGTCCGGACTGGAAGGGGTTAAAAGAAATCGGTCTGTTCCTGGGAGGGAGCAAAGCAAACATACATTGCCAGATAGCAGAGGTGGGAACACTCTTGGGATGGGCTCGGGGGGGGGGGGGGGGGGGGGAGGCGGTGTTGATGCAATGTGTTCAATGATTGTCTTGGGTGAATGGTTGGGTCACATGGGGTGCACGGGGCGTGTCATGTACACAGATAAGGTGACTATATTAAACATTCTGCTCACAGGCTATAGAAAGGTGGATGAAGAGCTAACACAGGCATGGACCATAGAACATAGATCACCCTCCCAGGAACACGTTACCAGTGTCAGCACTCCGCTCTCTCTCCTGTGCAGCGTCATACTCCATGACGCCGTGCCTTCTGGGAGATCAACCGTATTCAGAAACTGAGCGATCATTCTAGAATCAAATACAAATCAATGATTTTCTGGCTCTTAAATGGGGTTTTCAGTAACTTTACAATTCCTGACATGTCCCAGGATACAGTCACAGCAGGGCTTTTCTTCAGTAGGAACGCGGGGGGAACGCAGTTACAGCCCCTCCAGCACTGAATGTATATAATGGCAAGGAGAGCTGGGGTGTGCTGGAGGGTCTATTGTTGCTGGATGCTGAGGGATCTGTTATCGCTGGGGGGATTTATTGTGGAAGGAGGGATTTTTTGTTTTTGGGAGGGATCTGCTGTTGAGGGAGGGGGGTTTATTGGTGCTGGCTGCTAAGGGATCTGTTGTCACAGGGAGGGGGGATTTATTGTGGAAGGAGGGATCTTTTGTTGCTGGGAGAGATATGCTGTTGAGGTGGGGGGGGGTCTATTGTTGCTGGCTGCTGAGGGATCTGTTGTCACTGGGTGGGATTTATTGTGGAAGGATGGATCTTTTGTTGCTGGGAGGGATCTGCTGTTGAGGGGGGGTCTATTGTTGCTGGCTGCTAAGGGATCTGTTATTACTGGGGGGTGGATTTATTGTGGAAGGGTGGATCTTTTGTTGCTGGGAGGGATCTGCTGTTGAGAGGGGGGTCTACTGTTGCCATCTGCTTGAGGGTCTATTGTTGCTGGTTGAAGGTGATCTATTTTACAGCTTTTTATTAACAAATTCCATACTGAGTATTTAGCTGCTTGAGGGTCTATTGATGCTGGCTGCTGGGAGGGGATCTGTTGTTGCTTTTGGGGGTCTATTGTTGCTGGGGAAAGGGGTATTTTGTTGCAAGGGGTCGATTGTAGCTGGGGAGGATCTATTGTTAAAGGGGGGGTCTATTGTTTCTGGCTGCAGGTGATCTATTTGACTGCTTTTTATTAACAAATTCCAAACAAAGTACTTAGCACCAGAAAATGATACTTGGTTATGTTTTTTCTAAATTAAGCATTACCGGGACGTGGGTAGGATGTGGAACCAAGGGATGATGCTCAGAGGTGCTAGGATGTGGAACCAAGGGATGGTGCTCAGAGGTGGGTAGGATGTGGAACCAAGGGATGATGCTCGGAGGTGGGTGGGTGGGGGTGGAACAAGGGATGGTGCTTGGAGGTGGGTGGGGGTGGAACCAAGGGATGATGCTCGGAGGTGGGTGGGGGTGGAACCAAGGGATGGTGCTTGGAGGTGGGTAGGATTTGGAACCAAAGTGCGATGCTTGGAGGTGGGTAGGGGGTGAAACCAAGGGATGGTGCTCAGAGGTGAGTAGGATGTGGAACTAAGGGGCGATTCTCGGAGGTGGGTAGGGGGTGGAACCAAGGGACAGTGCTTGGAGCTGGGTAGGGGTTGGAACCAAGGGGCAATGCTTGGAGGTGCGTAGGGGGGGGAACCAAGAGACAGTGCTTGGAGGTGGGTAGGATGTGGAACCAAGGGACGGTGCTCGGAGGTGGGTAGGGGGTGGAACAAAGGGATGGTGCTCAGAGGGGGGTAAGATGTGGAACCACGGGTCGATTCTCAGAGGTGGGTAGGGGGTGGAACCAAGGGTCGATTCTCGGAGGTGGGTAGGGGGTGGAACCAAGGGATGGTGCTTGGAGGTGGATAGGATGTGGAACCAAAGTGCGATTCTCGGAGGTGGGTAGGGGTTGGAACCAAAGGATGGTGCTCAGAGGTGGGTAGGAGGTGGAACCAAGGGGTGATGCTCGGAGGTGTGTAGGGGGTGGAACCAAGGGGACGGTGCTCTGTGGTGGGTAGGAGGTGGAACTAAGGGACAATGTTCGAAGGTGGGTAGGAGGAGGAACCAAAGGATGGTGCTCAAAGGTGGGTAAGGGGTGGAACCAAGGAACAGTGTTGGAGGTGAGTAGGAGGTAGAACCAAGGGATGGTGCTAAATGGTGGCTAACAAGCTGCTGATTAGAACTATTAACCTAATATGTGATCACCGCCACCCACCGATCCTTCTCTGCCTCTCACCCTCTGCAATTACCGTTTTCCCTCCACTGCCTCTCCCACCGGTAATTGCAGAGCCTCCCTGCCGCTGTGACCTCCGCCCCTTTCCTGCATCCCCTCCAGCACCGATCCCCCCCAGCACAAGCCAATTACCCCCCCCCCCCCTCCTCCACCCCCCACCAGCACCAAAACTCTGTTGCTCTGCAATTACCAGCTGCCCGCCTCTGCCTCTCCCACTGGTAATTGCAGAGCCTAAAGAGTAAACTGTATTTACTTTGATTCAGTTTGTGAAAGAATAGGACTCTATACATTTGCTCAAGTATCACGGGGGGCCTAAAAATCACTAGCACTTTTTTTTTTTTATTCTACTGGTCATGTGCTTTCAGAAAGTATACAGTTTTGGGGGTCTTTTACAAACTCTGAAAAATAAAAAAAGTAACGAAAAAATTTCAATAATGGTCCGTCCACCTGAATCTAAAAGTGGAGCTCAGAGCCCCGGCTGTTGGTGCCAGTGTAGCATGGCTTCCAGATGTCCGCTGTGGGTTTTGCACATTTTATTTCTGCAGAAATTTGACTTTCTTTTTAAAAAAAAGTTTTGATATCTCCATTGTCCAAAAATAATTCAGAACAAAACACACATAGCTGAAAATATAGTGATACAGCAGGACTGTGCCGGAGCGCAGAGACGTGGCCACTAATGGAAGTAGCCTACAAATTGGAATGTCCATTAGAGGCATTCTGCTCCTGGAGTCCTCATATTTACACCACATTGGCAGTGTGGATCAGGGGAGCTGCCTCTTGATTGGTCGCAACGCTGGCACACCAGGTGAGACCTGAAGTGTCATTGGCTGTTCACCAGAGAGGAGACCCACCAGTGGATCCTAGAGGAGGTAAGCAAGACAAGACAGGTGTCAATGGAAAAAGTGCCCCCATTGGAAGATTTGCACTCATCGCCTGTTGCACTTATGCTAAAGGGGGCTTGTTTTAATGATTAGAATTTAGTAAGTTAAAGTGGAGCTCCACCTAAAAAGGGGAAGATCCGCCTCATTGCACCCTCCACCACCACATTTGGCACTTTTTTCTGGGGAGGGAGGAGCAGGTACCTGGTTTTAACAGGAACCCGCTCCCACTTCCGGCTCAGTTCGCCATGGCAAACTGACCTGGAAGTTCATCCCACCTTCCCCCCCCCCAGTCTTCTGAGACACTTCGCAGGTCCCAGAAGACTAAGGGGCCAATTACAGGGCACAGCGCAACTCATGAATGCGCAGAAGGAAACCGGCTGCAAAGTAGCAAGGCTTCACCTCCGGTTTCCCTTACTGGGAACCCAGAGGCTAGTGAAGGACTTGTTCAGAAGAGGACAGTGCTGGATCCCTGGACAGGTAAGGGTCCTTATGTATAGAATTTGTAGCTGCTGACTTTTAATTTTTTGGGGGGAGCCGGGAGCTCCACTTGTATCCTAACATATCATGTAAGAAACTTTGATGTGCCTGGGAGCAATCTTCCCCACCGCATTATGTAATCACACAGCATTTCCCTGAAATAATTTTCCAACATTGAGAAGTGTTAGAAGGTGTGAGAATGCCGTCCCGACACCTCCAGCAATGAAAGTATGCAATGAAGGGTCTACTGATGCTGGCTGCTGGAGGATTTATTGTCACTGGGGGGTCTATTGTTACTGGTGGGGATTTCTGTTGCTGGGATCTAAGTGGGGAAAAATCTCCTGCTGGATCTCTATACTGACATGGACGGGTGATGGGTGAGGAACGTAAGGACGCCCCATCGTTGGATGGAAATGAAAATGATCGACCTACAGAGGACTGAATTCAAAGACATCCCGAAAATCAAAGGAAAAATGATGCAGCAGGCCGGTCCATTTGGCTGAAATGTCATTGCAGCAACTCAGAATGGTCCTCAGTAGTTTGTATGGCCCCAGGGGGTGTATTTACCACAAGGCAAACAAGGCATTTGCCTAGGGCGGCATTTTTCAGGGGGGGCAGCACTGCCCCTTGGAAGAAGGGACAGAAGAAGGAACACACGTGGCATGGGGACCTGGTGGGTTCCTTGAGATGCTGTGGGTTTCATGACGGTGTATGCACAGCCCAACTCTCGTTCCCGGGGATGTCCGGAGCTGTGAAGGCGAGTGTCTCTCTCACCATGGGGGATGGTGGCTGGTGTATGGGGGGCAGTGGTAGTGGAAGGCTTGGGTGGAGGGCAGGGGTGTTCTTGGTCAATGTCAGGCTCTTTCTGCGAGTGGGTACCAATTTATGTGTTGCCTAGGGCTGCACAAAACCTAAATACACCACTGTATGGCCCCCTCGTGTTTGTATGCATGCCTGACAACGTCAAGGGAGGCTCCTGGATGGTGTCCTAGGGGATTTCCTCCCAGATCTGTGTATATATATATATATATATATACACATATACAGTACATTGTATATAGTCTGGGGGAGGGGTGGACTCACTTCTGGGAGATACTGCATATACATATATATATATATATATATATATACACATTGTATACAGTCCGGGGGAGGGGTCTTTATTGACTCTGCAGATAGTTGGCGACTTCTGCACTGTGTGCTTCAGCTGATCCCGCTCTGTCATGTGACGTGGCCTACCACTTGGTGGCTGAGTGGCTGTTGTTCCCAGTTGCTTCCACTTTGTTATAATCCCACTAACAGTTGAGCGTGGAATATTTAGTAGCCAGGAAATGTCACGGATGGACTTATTGCCCAGGTGGCCACCTATCCCGGGACCACGCTTGGAGTCACTGAGCTCCTGAGAGCGACCCATTCTTTCACCAATGTTTGTAGAAGCAGTCTGCATGCCTAGGGGCTTGATTGTATACACCTGTGTCCATGGAGGGGATTGGAACACCTGAATCACGATTGGGATGGGATTGGAACACCTGAATCACGATTGGGAGGGGATTGGAACACCTGAATCACGATTGGGAGGGGATTGGAACACCTGAATCACATGATTTGGAGGGGATTGGAACACCTGAATCACGATATGGAGAGGATTGGAACACCTGAATCACGATTGGAAGGGGATTGGAACACCTGGATTGAGGGGATTGGAAACACCTGAATCACATGATTGGGAGGGGATTGGAACACCTGAATCACATGATTGGGAGGGGATTGGAATCACGATTGGAGGGGATTGGAACACTGAATCACGATTGGGAGGGGATTGGAGCACCTGAATCAGGATTGGGAGGGGATTGGAGCACCTGAAGCAGGATTGGGAGGGGATTGGAGCACCTGAATCAGGATTGGAGCACCTGAATGGGGAGGGCGGGCCCAGTACTTTTGGCAATCTAGTGATTATGTAAATCCACACATGACCTGACATTTATTAGACCTACTATGAATGGTCTTCTTCTCCCCATGTCAGTTTCATGATGGGCTGGGCGAGGTGTAATTATCAGAGTTCAATCAGAAAGCAAACACAAGAATGTAGAGTAACTTGTTTTCTCAATAAATTCCATTCCATGCTATTTTTTCTTTCCTGAACCAAATGGGTGTCATTGTGTATTCTCTACACCCAAGGGTGCTAAAGGTACATAACGACACAATCTGATGGAGGAACATTTGGAGTCGCAGCCATGACGGATAAGCCATGCATTTCCTGCCGGACAATGCACAGCTAAGAACAGGGGATTGAAGTGAAATCTGTGAAATGATCATGTATGTCATGCAAGTAATGGGAGTATTGATGAGCAGTGGTAGAGGTGATGGGAATGATGGAGCAGCAGATGATGACAGTGATGGGATAGATGGCGCAGGAGGTAATGACAGTGATGGCGCAGGAGGTTATAGGAATGATGGTGAAAGAAATGAAGAGAGTGATGGCGCAGGATGGTGATGGTAGTGTTGGTGCAGGAGGTGAAGGGAGTGATGGAGCAGGAGGTGATTACAGTGACTGCGCAGGAGGTGATGGTAGTATTGGTGCAGGAGGTGATGCAAGTGATGGCACAGAAGATGATGACTGCTTTCGCAGGAAGTGACGGCAGTGATGGAGCAGTAGATGATGAGAGTGATGGTGCAGGAGGTGATAGGAGTGATGGAGCAAGAGGTGACGGCAGTGATGGTGCAGGAGATGACGACGGGAGTGATGGCGCAGGAGGTGATGGGAGTGATAGCGCAGGAGGTGATGACAGTGATGGCACAGAAGGTGATCGGAATGATGGTGCAGGAGGTGATAAGAGTGATGGAGCAGGAAGCAATGGCAATTTTGGTGCAGGAGGTAATGGGAATGATGGCGCAGGAGGTGATGACAGTGATGGAGCAAGTGGTGATGACAATGATGGCGCAGGAGGTGATGGGAGTGATGGTGCAGGAGCTGACAGGAGTCATGGCGCAGGAGGTGATAGGAATGATCGTGCAGGAGATGATGAGAGTGATGGAGCAGGAGGCGATGGCAGAATTGGTGCAGGAGGTGATGAGAGTTATGGAGCAGCAGGTGATGGGAATGATGGCGCAGGAGATGATGGCAGTGTTGGCGCAGGAGGTGGAGGCAGTGTTGGCGCTGGAGGTGACGGCAGTGTTGGCGCAGGAGGTGACGGCAGTGTTGGCGCAGGAGGTGACGGCAGTGATGGCGCAGGAGGTGACGGCAGTGATGGCGCAGGAGGTGATGGGAGTGTTGGTGCAGGATGAGATGGGAGTGATGGTGCAGAAGGAGATGGCAGTGATGGTGCAGAAGGAGACGGCAGTGATGGTGCAGGAGGAGATGGGAGTGTTGGTGCAAGAGGTGATGGGAGTGTTGGTGCAGGATGAGATGGGAGTGATGGCACAGGAGGAGACGGCAGTGATGGTGCAGGAGGTGATGGGAGTGTTGGTGCAGGATGAGATGGGAGTGATGGCGCAGGAGGAGACGGCAGTGTTGGTGCAGGAGGTGACAGCAGTGTTGGTGCAGGAGGTGATGGCAGTGTTGGTGCAGGAGGTGATGGCAGTGATGGTGCAGGAGGTGATGGCAGTGATGGTGCAGGAGGTGACAGCAGTGATGGTGCAGGAGGAGACGGCAGTGATGGTGCAGGAGGTGATGGGAGTGTTGGTGCAGGAGGTGATGGGAGTGATGGTGCAGGAGGTGATGGGAGTGTTGGTGCAGGAGGAGACGGCACTGATGGTGCAGGAGGTGATGGGAGTGTTGGTGCAGGAGGAGATGGGAGTTTTGGTGCAGGAGGAGACGGCAGTGGAATGGTTGCAGGTCTCACGTAGGTGTACAGTTTGAAGGACAGCGAGAAGCAGGTTACAATTGGTGCTTTGTAGGAGTAAATCTTAGCAATGCAGGTTATTGCTGACATGAACTTTGACAATTACTGGCCGACAGTTGCTTGGGTTCCGGGGTTTCTTGCACGCACCTAAAAACATGCCAAATGCAGGAGGCTTCTTGTGGTGCCACAAATGTGAATCCCACGAATAAGGATCTACTTGCAGTGGACAGTCAATGACTTCGCCTAGGCTGAGATGATGTCCCGGGTTTGCCTGACAGGTAAAAGGCTGCAACAGACCTGCATTGTTGGTGTCAGTGGAAGGAATAATGCCTCAAGGGCCAGATGGAGGTGGGCAAAGGGCCACATCCAGCCTCAGGGCCCCAGTTTGCAGACCACTGACCTGGATGATCGAACACCCTCAGGCTCGGTTGAGACGTGATGCGATTTTCATGCAATTTCAAGTGCAACTATGTAGGGCGACTTGGTTGAAACCTTGATCTGCCTTCGGTGTGACTTCACTCACAGAAACCGCTCCAGCATTAGATGGGAAGCAATTCCTATGCAACTTGGATACATCAGTGGTTGTTTTTTAACCCTTATCTCTCCTCCCTGGTCATCCTTGCTGCCTAAAACTCTCTCCTCCCACTCACATTCCATTCACACCTGAGCGCAGCAGAAACATGCATTCCAGATCTGGTATTTTTGTGCATTTTTCACAGATATACACACATCACGCATAAGGCAGCCCATCCGTGCGAGAAACACCCCAAAGTATCCCACGTGGAAGAAAAATATATTTGGAAATATATTTTTAAAAAATTCTTCCCAAATATATTGCCATATATTTGAAATGCTACAATTTTGTCTGTAATTATATATATATATATACTGCATGTTGAAAAGCGGTTTTATTACAAAATATATGACAAATATTTTTAAAAATACATTTCAAATATACTGCGTGTTTTTTAAAAATACAAATCTACATTTTTGGAATGGATGTACAAATATATGTAAAAATAACTTTTTTATATGATTAAAAAAAATGTGCATTTTGACACATCTGTAGCGTGACAAACGTGCAGAAAAACATGCGCCTGCTAACCGTGTTTGGAAATGTGCAGATGTGAAGCCAGTTCATGACACCCCCAACATGCAACGACCCGCGAGTGCGGTGCGCATTTTTAGCTCATTTCAGGAACGCGCGGCAAAGCGCTTGTTTTCTCTGCAGGTTGCTGCACATTTAGAAATAGGTGACTGACTGTTCATGACACCCCAAACACAGTTAAATGACGCATGTTTTGTTGCGTGCCAAAAATACGCACTAAAAAAATTCTCAATGCTCCACAACCAAAAGGTTTATAACCCCTCGCCCTCCAGAGGATTTACTCCCCCCCCCCTCCTAACCAGGATATTTTTTGTGATACTTTAACTGGCAATTGCTCGGTCATGCAACGCTGCACCCAAATGAAATATATATACGTCATTTTTTTCCCACAAATAGAGCTTTCTTTTGGTGGTATTTGATCGCCTGTGCGGTTTTAATTTTTTGCTATATAAAAAAAAAAAAAAAGAACAAAAAATATTTGCTGAAAAAAATCCCAATACGTGTAAATTAATTGGTTTATGTGGAAGTTATAACATCTACAAATGGTGGTATAGATACTGGGATTTTATTTTAATACTAGTAATGGCGGCGATCAGCTACAGTGAAGGAAATGTATATTTTTCTCCCCTGATGCTGAATGTTCGCCCCTCACACAGAAATGATCGGTCTAACAATGGAATGTTCGCCCCTCACACAGAAATGATCGGTCTAACTTTGGAATGTTCGCCCCTCACACAGAAATGATCGGTCTAACAATGGAATGTTTGGTGTGTACACACTGAGAGACACAGAATACAACAACAAATTCAGCAGAAATGTGTCTAACAAATGATGACGGATCTGCATGTTCATGAGGGAAAGAAGGATTTGATCCCCTTCACAAAACATGACTTAGTACTTGGTGGCAAATCCCTTGTTGGCAATCACAGAGGTCAGATGTTTCCTGGAGTTGGCCCCCAGGTTCGCACACATCTCAGGAGGGATTTTGGCCCACTCCTCTTGGCAGATCCTCTCCAAGTCATTAAGGTTTGGTGGCTGACGTTTGGCAACTCGAACTTTCAGCTCCCTCTACAGATTTTCAATCGGATGAAGGTGTGGAGACTGGCTAGGCCACTCCAGGACCTTAATGTGCTTCTTCTTGAGCCGCTCCTTTGTTGCCTTGGCCGTGTGTTTTGGGTCATTGTCATGCTGGAACACCCATCCACCACCCATTTTCAATGCCCTGGCTGAGGGAAGAAGGTTCTCACCCAAGATTTGAGGGTACATTGCCCCGTCCATCGTCCCTTTGATGCGGTGCAGTTGTCCTGTTCCCTTAGCAAAAAAACACCCCCAAAGCAGAATGTTTCCACCACGTTTCACAGTTGGGTGGTGTTTTTGGGGTCATAGGCAGCATTCCTCCTCCTCCAAACATGGCAAGTTGAGTTGATGCCAAAGAGCTGGATTTTGGTCTCCTCTGACCACAACACTTCCCACCAGTCCTCCTATGCATCATTCAGATGTTCAGTGGCAGACTTCAGACGGGCCTGGACATGTGCTCTTTCTTGAGCAGAGGGACCTTGTGGGCACTGCAGGATTTCAGTCCTTGTCGGCGTAGTGTGTTACCAATTGTTTTCTTGGTGACTGTGGTCCCAGCTGCCTGGAGATCATTGACAAGATCCTCACGTGTAGTTCTGGGATGATTCCTCACTGTTCTCATGATCATTGACACTCCACGAGGTGAGATCTTGCATGGTGCACCAGACCTAGGGAGACTGACACTTGTTTTGTGTTTCTTCCATTTGTGAAATGATTGCACCAACTGTTGTCACCTTCTCACCAAGCTGCTTGGCCATAGTTTGGTAGCCCAGTCCAGCCTTGTGTAGGTCTACCATCTTGTCCCTGACATCCTTGGACAGCTCTTTGGTCTTTGCCATGGTGGAGAGTTTGGAATCTGATGGTTTGATTGCTCCTGTGGACACGTGTCTTTTATACAGGTAACACAATGAGATTAGCAGCACTCCCTTTAAGAGACTGCTTCTAATCTCAGCTTGTTACCTGTATGAGAG